GATGTATTGAGACTCACCTCTTAATCACTGAATTCAGGTGTTTCATTCAGTCTCATTGCCACAGGTGTATAAAATCAAGCACGTAGCCATGCAGCCAGCCTATATACACATTAGTAAAAGAAAGGGTTGTTCTAAAGAGCTCACTGAATTCCACTGTGGTACTGTAATAGGATGCTTCCATTGCAATAAGCCCGTTTGCGACATTTCCTCTCTCCTAGATATTCCATGATCAACTGTGAGAGATATTATTGAAAAGTGGAAGTGTTTAGGGACCACAGTGACTCAGACATAAAGTGTCCGACCACGTAAAGTTACAGAGCAGGTCGCCGAGTGCTGAGGAGCATAGAGCTTAAAATCTCCAACGCTCTGCTGATCAATAACTGCAGAGTTCAAACCTCCTCTGGCATCAACATCAGCACAAAAACTGCACCAAGAGCTTCATGGCATGAGTTTCCATGGCTGAGCAGCTGCATGAAAGCCTTACATCACCAAACACAATGCCAAGCGTCGGATTGAGTTTGGTGGAGGAGGGATGATGCTATGGGGCTGTTTTTCAGGGGTTGGTCTAGAACCCTTAGTTCCAGTGAAAGGAAACCTTAATGCTTAAGCACCAAGACATTTTGGAGAATTCTATGCTTCCATCTTTGTGGGAACAGTTTGGGGTAGAACCTTTTCTGTTCCAGCATGACTGAGCATCAGGGCACAAAGCAGCTCCATAAGGCCTGGCTGGGTGAATTTGGTGTGGAGGAACTTGAGTGGCCCTCACAGAGCCCTGACCTCAACCCCATCACACACCTTTGGGATGAACTAGAATGGAGACTGTGAGCCAGACTCTCTCATCCAACATCAGTGTCTGACCTTTCTTGTAAATTCTACACAGTGGATAAATGATGATATTTTGCAGTTGAAGAGGATTTGTAGGATGGTAGAGCGACAATGGAAAATGTCTCTACTTCAAGGTCATTATTAGATAGACAGATAGATATATAGACAGACAGATAGATAGATAGATAGATAGATAGATAGATAGATAGATAGATAGATAGATACTTTATTGATAACAAAGGAAATTTAGCAGCCAGTAGCAGTCACACAACACAGGACAGTTATAATAATAATAACAATAATCATTATTATGATTTAATATTATTATCTTTTAATTATTATTGATTTAATAAGTGTAAATATACAAAAGCCAAGGTTTCTGTTTTGTAGGATAGACTTCCTAGTAAATGGGGTTGCCCAGAGCAACTCTCCAGTTGCTGCTCTAGTTCTGGCTCCCTGTGTGCCAAAAGTCTGTGCGGCTCCGGTGCCAGCGCTGGCCTTCCAGTGTCCAACTTCAGTATCAGCTCCACGCCATATTTCATGTCCTGTTCCAGTGCCAGATACCCAGCGTTTCCAGTTCCCTGCCAGGCCACTCGTCCAGTTCACTGCCCAATCTGACATTCGTAAATTTATGTTTCCCCTGTGTCTGTCCAGTCCCCAGCCCCTGCACTGTGTGTGTCCGTGCCTATCAGTGTTCCTGTCTCTGGTCTTGTACCCGTTCCTGTCCATGTCTCCGTCCATGTCCCCATGTCTATGGTTATGCAGTCATTTGTCCAGTCTCCCGTCCTGCTTTTTGTCCAATCTCCTACCCATTCTTTTTTTTACAATCTCCTTTCTGAGCAGAGCCACCAAGATAGTCGAGGACGAAAAAGAGGAAAGCTAAAAAAAAGAATCAAAAAAACCGAAGTAAAAAATGGATACTGAGGCTATTATGAGAAAGATAACGGAAGAGGACAAGAAGATAGCAGGTAGAAAAACGAAATGGAGAAAAGATTAATAAAGAGAAGGGGGATAGAAAATATATATGTAGTATACGTTGAAACAATAAGAAGAACGTACCTAGAAGAAAAAGCGGGAAGAGGAAAAGTGAAGATAGTGAAGAGAAAAGAAGCACAAAGTAAAATTAAGAGTGTAAAGAGTAGAGAAAAAGATATGATGAGTGTAAGGAAGTATCCGAGTAAAATGAGCCTCAAAGAGAGATATTAAGAGGAAAATGTAAAACAGAAATGGAAGTTAAATTAAACTAAAAGAGATCGGGCCGTATGCCATAAAAGGGAGAGAAAGTGAAAAAGAGTTAATGAAAGAGAAAGTAGAAAAAAACGGAAAAATGGCACTAAGAAAAAAGACGGTAGAAAGGAAGCCTAAAGGGAAGAAAAGATTTAAGAGAAGCTAAGAAAAGGGGACCAAAAAAGAAAGGCCCTAAGAAAAGCAGAGAAAATGGCGAATGAACGAGAAAAATAAGAGGGTTGGAAGAATAGGGAAGAAAAGAGCGATGGTAGAAAATGCATAAGATAACGGACAATTGTCACAAAATGAGGAAATGGCGAGGGGACCAGTAGTATAAATGGAATGTAAGAGGCAAAAATAGTAGTGGAAGAATGAAGAAGTGAGTTACGAGAAGAGAGGGACAGAAGGCCAATGGGATTTCGGAAAATAAAAAGGAAAAAATTAGAATAGTAAGAAGGGTAAGAAACAGTGAATGGGATAGGAAACAGAGAAACCCCACCCCACCCTGCCTTCACTCCCTCTAACAATCACTATTCACCAGTCAAGTTTATACTTCCTGTTACCCTGTGGCCTTTGGGTGGCTGTTCAGTAACATCCTGTCTTGGCCTGTCTTTGTCTTTCTCTGTTTCAGCCTTTGTTTTTCTGCTTTTACTTCCATCCTGCGTCTTCGTTTCTAGCAGTGTCACAAATATTTCTGTCCATTAGGCTAAATGTTCCAGTGTGAAGGCTTTAACTGAGGCCAGTTTTTCTACTTTTTTCAATCTTCCACTGAATGGATAGTCATATCAGCCAGACACGTATGGTCTGTTGTGCCCATCTTAAAACTGACTCTACTGCTATCGGACAGTAGGACATTTTTGAACAAAGACAATGTGTAAGCCCCACCCACTGCATATAAACAAAGCACAAATTGAAAAGACAGTGAAATTTCACCTGAGGTACTGATATGATATGGAACTGTGATGGGTCACTACCTACGTACGTATGGCTCTGCTGCTGCTCTGAGCTATCAGTAGGTGTTTGTCAAACTGTATTTATTTTAAAACTCTTCTGTCTAATCAAAAGCTGACAGTATATCAGTGAATTAATATTTTATATCAGGTTGCAGGACTTGTAGATACTCAAAATGTTTTCCTGCTGAGAGATAAGTCATTTAAAAGATAATCAGTCAAAGTTCTGTACAGCAGATGCTGAGAGAACCACTAAATATTCTACTAATGATCTCAACTAAAGATGGAGCAGTGTATAAACATGAACCTGGCTGGACTGGGGTCATTATTATCAGGCCTGAACGTGAATAAACATGTTCATTTCCACACTAATCTATTAGAGATGGACCTGTATTTCATATAATGTAAGTCTGTCTTGTGTTACATTGTGTGTTTCAGGTGTTCTGTCAGTGTGTGTGAGCTCTCAGACTGGATAGGTTCAGCCCTGATTCCAAAATAAGGATGGTGCAAGGTTAAAGAAATTACTTGTACTCTTTACACTTCTACTTTTTTTGTTTTGTTTTTAATAGATTCATGATAATTATGAATACAAATTAGCATTTTTGGGGGTATTCAAATACGAATATCAGGGAGTTTGGATCTGATTTTCCAGTGAATTGTATAAAATGATCAAATTAGTAAATCTTGTAAACATCACAAACATTTTAAGCTTTTTGCCGGTTTAACTGGATTTAACCAGGTTCATCGCTGCAAAGTTATGTATAAGCCCCGCCTACTCCATATAAAAGCAACATTTCACAGCACAACAAACCTTCCTCTGTGCTACTGATACGCTGTGTAACTGTGATGGTCCTCATTTCGGGGATGGCTCTGTTGCTCTGGGGCATCGGTAAGTGTTTCTAAGCTGATTCTATCTTTTTAAATCTTTAATTTCTTTATTAAAACACTTTGTTTGAAATATAATTCAGGTACAATGCCTGGAATCTGAAACAAATAATTATTTGGACAGAACTAAAAATGCAAAGTGACAGCAAGAACTCTTTAAACTGTACGGCAGCTACTGAGAGCACTGCTAACAACTCCGCTTTCTAACCCGACAAAGTTTAAAAAAACACAAATAGATACAAATAAACATACTAAACATAAACTGCAGCTGTTCCACCATAAATGTACTGCATGTGTTGTGTGTTTCAGGTGTTCTGTCAGTGAGTTTGAGCTCTCAGACGGGTTTAACTGTAGAAGCAGAACCTGGTGATGATGTCACTCTCTGGTGTCAACACAGCTTAACTTCACCAGATTATTTATACTGGTTAAAGCAAACATGCAGCTCTACACCAGTTTACATTGCTTGCAAATATTACTCATCATCATCATCATCATCCTCATCATCCTCCTCTAAACGCTGTGTTTTAGTCACTGAGAGTAACAGATCAGTGATGAGTGTAAACTCTATGAACTCCTCTCTCACTATAACTGCAGTTACTCACTCTGATTCAGGACTCTATTACTGCTGCACACTGAAAGGAAAGCAGATGATTTTCAGCACTGCAACACATCTACAAATCAGAGGTATGTTGACTGTTTCATTAGTCATTAACAAAGATGTGGAGTTACTGAGTAAAAAGTATTAAGCTGTAACGTGATACTGAATTATATCATGTAAAACAATCCACAATAAACATTTATTTTTCAGAAAGAATTGAAACATCTTCCAAGGCACCAGATAAACCCGAAGAAGGTCTGTCTTTTACCATATTGATCATAAAGCTTGCTGATTATTTTATTTATTTTATTAACACACACATTTATTGATCAGATTCTGCTTAGCTTATTGTCTTGGCTACTTTACCCACAGCAGCCACACTTATTATTGCGTTATTCATGAACTGGGCATCACTTAAACAAAACTGACATTTTAAAAATGAAAATATGTTCCTCTGGTGTTTTTTCAGTTGCCTACCCCTCTTTCGTCCTCTTAATGCTGACTGTGGCATTTGGGGCCGTGACCGTAGTTCTACTCATCCGGATGTTTGTTAAGTGCATCAGAAAACAACAGAGAGATGGTAAAGAATAGTTTTTAACAATTCAAATATGGTCATTTAATAAAATGATAAAGATAATGTAATATATATGATAATAATAACATAATGTAATGTAACATTAAAGTACATAGAGAATGTCTCTGTTTTTCAGCTTTTACTTTTAAAAAGGTATTTAAAAACATGTTGTACACAATGGATTGAAGTATCTAGGTAGGCGAGAAAAGGGTTAAAAACTTAACTGTCACTTTAGTGACCAGCTAACTATGTGATCTGTACTGATTTCCACAGATTCTAATGTTAAACCGAAACAAGAGAATGAGGTAAGTCTGACGCCAGTTTCACCAGTTTATTGAAGAACAAATCAGAACTTTAAAACATATTTGTCCATTTAATTTGCTCCTAATTCTTACATTAAGCTCTGCTTGTGAAGAGCAAACTTGTTTTAGCGCATTCTCCTTAATAAGCCTTGGCCTGTCGGCGGGCCCAAATTCTTATTATACACTGCTATAACCTACAAATAGCTCCATGAATTTGCATTGAAGTCCTGTAGCTACTGAATAACAGGTTTTGCATGTAATAAGCCTGGAATTAAATGGTTTAACATACTTTTCAGTGAACCGGACAATGATTCATTGGTATAATGAATAATATACACAGACTATAGCTTAATTCTTCAGTTATTTTTCCTTCTCTAACTGTTTGTGATCTGTGTTCTGTGTAACTGCAGGAGCAGGATGGTGAAACGGTGAACTACGCTGCTCTACACTTTAATAAGAAAAACAAGAGATCAGAGAGAAATGTAAATGTGGATCCAAATGTTATATATTCTACTGTGAGTAACATCCAGTAAATTACTGATGGATTGTGATTAGTTTTGTGTGTTTGAACAGATACATAATTCTACATTATTATAACCAGCTGTAGTGTCAGCTGAAAGCATGTTCATTTACATTGACTGTAAATAACGCTCAGCACACACGGAGCACAATCATGGAGAAGCTTCAGGTTTTCTTTATTTACTACAGACACTCTAAAAATCTACATCACTCTGAGCAGCTTCATTTGACAATAAACAATTTGCGAAAGTTTATGCCCCCTGGTCAAATTCCATATTTTGTTGATTTTTTTAAGTTAAAATATGTTAGAACATCCTCTGCTGAGAACACACTTCTGCACAATTTAATACACAATTACTGTTAATTTACTGTATTTATCACTGGGGACAAAATTCAAATAAAAATGTGGCCTGGGCAAAAGTTATGGCACATTTTGTATCATATGTTAAATTCAGTAAATGTTATGAATATGACGACATACTAACAATAGATAATAAACTTTGGATAGATACAGAGCTGTTTTTTTTTTTGTTTGTTTGTTATTTTTTTGTTTGTTTTTAAAGTTTTTTGTGCTTTACATTGTGCAACTTCTTAATATTTTGCTACTTGCTGTACTAACATCAATGCACAAAATAAAATATGGCTGTATTTCTGCACATTTTAGTGCACAATTTCCATTTATTAGTTCAACAGAGTGAAAAAATTGTATAAAAATTACAATATATAATGTGCCATAACTTTTGCCCAGTCCACATTTTACATTTTATGGTTTTTTAAATATGTTAAATTCAGTAAATAAACAGTAATTGTGAATTAAAATGTGCAGACGTGTGTCTTTTGGCTTAGAAAATCAACAACAAATTGATTGAAAAAATCAACAGAATTTGACCAGGGGTGCACAGACATTTGCGTACGACTGTAGTTCAGTCTGCATCTTGTGAGCATAACTAATGTTAGCCAGTGAATATCCGTACAATGTTATTGTTATTGTTTTATGATAGCTGTGCAGTCCTGTATCTTTTAAGCCTTTTTGATCTTAGTGCTTGATATCTGCTACTTACGATCGTTTACTGCACTGGTTGGTCTTTATATGACTGGTTGGATGTGGCTGTTTTGCTCTTTATTTAAATGACAGATTTACTTTTTGTCAGTATTATGGCTGTAGCATGGTAAGGAATGCTGATCTGGAGACTGACCTGAAATATAGTATGTGATCATTTTAGATACACAACTGTTTTTATTTGTTTCATTATGTCTATTTATTTATTTGGTCTGTTACATTTACAACTTCTTAATCTGTACTAACATCAATGCACAAAATAAAACTGATATGAAAAGTGAAGCTATGTTAAGATATTTAACTTCAAATTTAACACACAATTCATTATTTAAGCGGCTGTTAATACCAAGCCTGTTCAGAAAGCCAACAGGAGTTCCTGAAATGTGATCTTGCAGCTGTGACTGCTTTGTAAAAATAATAATACACATTACATGTTTTGGCACAACGTCTTATTCCAAGTATGTCCTATTAACAGTTCCAGTTTGAGAGTGTGGCTAGAAACACATGCTCAGCTGTTATAAGTTCTTAAATGTGACAATAAAAGGAAATAAATTTACAAATTGAACACATTAAAGGCTCAAGGTCTTGCAGAGACCCTGGGCATGTGTATGTGGAGCCATCCCCTCCAAACTTTAAACTGTTGACCCAAAATGAATCCTTTCAGCACACATCTATGTAATCCTTCAAATCTTTAATTAATCCCTGCATCCATTCATAGAAACCCATTTATTTTACTTCCTGGAGCTGCTGAAATTCAATTTGTTTTAGCTTTTACTTCTCAGAAATTCCATTTACATGTGAGAATTAAAATTCAATTCACAAATGTTTCATTTTGACAAGTAAAAATTCAGTTTTTAGTATAAATGTCACCTCCACTTGTGTAAATTGAATTCTTCTTAAAATTAAATGTAAATTGAAAAATAGGATGAAAAGTAAAACGACTGCAGTAAAATGGCTTAGCATAGTAATTTGAATTTCTGCATGTTAAAGTTTTAATTAAAAATAAAAAGCACCACACGTTAAGCTTTAATTCATGTTAGAAAAAATTGTTAATGCAATTATAATGAATTCGTACCAATGAGAAAGGAAAATTTACAAGCTCAAACATAATTCCTACAATTAGAAGTTGAATTTTAAGATGTTATAATTTGATTTTAATATACATGTAATTTATGTAATATCAATAGCATTTTCTGATGAAGAAATTTTGTTTCTTGATTAAAAGTTAAACATGTTTAAAAACAGTTCACTGTTATTTGCAGCTTCTTCAAATTTATAGCTCTGTTTCTGAGAATTTTGGTTTTCTTTGTTTTCATTTCTTTCATCGTGTTCTATTTGGTGACCAACTGGAGCTTTGGTGACCAACTGGGTCTAATATGTATGAGCTCACAGTGACTTTATGAGTAGCTCTTATTTATCATGCTGCACATTTTGCGTGACGCTGCGCTGTTACTGCTGAGTGTTATGGATCTTATGAAATCTTGTTTATGAACAAAATGTTTGAGTGATCTGTTCTGAAGATGTGAATTCTGTTTCCGGAAGCAATGATTTATGATAATTTATTATTTAGACCTTTCACAAATTTATTTCCTGTGAAATTTAATACAAAAATCTGAAATAATTTCTCTTTGAAATAATGCATGAAAGCATTTGTTGCTGTTTTTAGGTCCAGAAGAGAAGCATATTTGGCCAGCTGAGTATTAATTGGGTAAAGGATTGGTAGAAATTCCTGTTTTCCTTTATACATCATTATTAGCCCATTGTATCCACCATTATTAGGGGATTGTATCCATAACAACAGAAAATTATTTTGGTGACACTAGTATTCTACAGGCTGCTAAAAAATTCAATAATAACCCATTTTATAATTAAATAACTGACTCACCAGCAGTATACCAGCAGAAAACGATCTGAAAAATATATATATAACCTATTACAGTATTTCAGATGAGATATCAGTAGGGTCAGAAATTGTGTTTATATATGATAAACCAAGGTAGACCAAAAATCAATTTAAGGCCTACTAATGTTGAAAAAAATTTAATAAGATAATTTATGTATATATATATATAATATATATATATATATATATATATATATATATATATATATGAACTGTTTTATCTAGTTTATCTTAAAAGTGATATTAAGCCACCTGATTCATGTGTATTGACTATTCACTGAGGATAACCTGCTGAAGGTGAGTGCATATCGACTGACATATCCACCCTTTGCTGGACCTCCTAATCCTCTAGTCCTCCAGTCAGCAGTTCTGTGCTGTTCCCTTTGGCGTTTTCAGTCTAAAATGGCGGCAGCGCTACCGCAGCACCATCTAGTGGCGGTTGTCAGAAAAGCGCCAGAGTTTTGTCTCATAGGCTTCTACACTATTTGTTCAGTACAGTTTGTAGAGCTTGGCTCCACTTTCAGTTCTGAACTCACCCGGGAATGTTCACTTGAGCTTTAACAGAAATTATGCACTAAAAGCAGCAGAATCTGTCATATTTAAGTGTTTTCTTTATAGAGGATGTGACCGCTTATTTACACTTAATCCAGGGGTGTTCAAACGTGTATATGACTGTGTCTACATTAAAAAGGGATTAAACGGGAGTTAAAACAGTCTTAACTGTGTAACATATAAAAGTCTTAATGAATTGTTTTAAAATAATATGATTATGTAATTTCAAAAGACAAACTGCCGCATATTTGACTGCATATCATGTTATTAACACCTCAAAAGCGAAAGTAATCTGGGATCCCTCGTCACTTCCTCAGTTACTACTCTGTTCTCGGTGAGCAGACGGAAGAACTGCCTGAGTAAATAATAAATATATTGTAATACAACCAAAAAGGCTAAAATGGATAAATTCTTCTGGTAGCTGTTTCTGGTGGGTAATGTTCATCTCACGTCATCAGGTGAACTGATCTTAAAAATGATCTTGTGCTTACATACACGGTCACTCTGTGATATCTTGAGGAACATCTTCTATGTGAAATTACACTGTGTGATGTTTGATGATGATGATGCTCATTAATGTAGTTTACCACATGATTCAGCTATATTATTAATATTTCATATTGAGAATTAAAATCTTAAATCCGTACTAAAATATTCAGACTCTTGGAAAAAGTGTTTCATCTTACAGATAAGATATCAGGACTTTGTAACACTGAACAAAAGCTGTCTGTGCTGCTTAACTGTATTGTGTAGTAAGTTGTACAGTAAAGTCAATGTTCAGGTGAAGGTGACTGTTGAAGTAAACAGGAAGTATTTTCTTTTATGTAAATCAGTAAAAGAACATTCTGTTGAGTAAATGGTGCTGTGGGTCTGAGTCTGACAGTCAAAGCATTATTTCAAATCCCTGCTGAGGATGGACAACAACACCACAGGCTATCCAGGGTATAATATACAGATGTGTTGACAAAAACTTTTGCATCTTTTCTTTCATTTACAGTACTTTTTTCCTAAGCTCAATTACCATATAAGCTCAATTACCATGGTCCATTAGTTAACAGCTATTTATATATAATATTTTCCTGTATTTTTCTGTTTATATATTATATATATATATATATATATATATATATATATATATATATATATATATATACACACACACACACACACACACACTATACTGCCAAAAGTATTCGCTTGTCTGCCTTCACACACATATGAACTTGAGTGACATCCGATTCTTAATCCATAGGGTTTAATATGATGTCGGCCCACCCTTTGCAGCTATAACAGCTTTGACTCTTCTGGGAAGGCTTTCCACAAGGTTTAGGAGTGTTTATGGGAACTTTTGACCATTCTTCCAGAGGCACATTTGTGAGGTCAGACACTGATGTCGGACGAGAAGGCCTGGCTCGCAGTCTCCGCTCTAATTCATCCCAAAGGTATTTTATCGGGTTGAGGTCAGGACTCTGTGCAGGCCAGTCAAGTTCTTCAACACCAAACTCGCCCATCCATGTCTTTATGGACCTTGCTTTGTGCACTGACGTGCAGTCATGTTGGAACAGGAAGGGGCCAAACTCCCCAAACT